TCCCCCTCTCCCCCTCCCCATCCTCCCTTCCCCCCTTTCCCCCTCCCTTCTCCTCCCGTGAAGCCCGTCGGGGCTGTCGAGGTCGGTGACTTCATTCCTGAGTTTTTGTGAGGGCCCTCCGGGTTCTGGCTGACTGGTGAGGGATGACAATCGTAAGCTGTTGGCCGCGCGAAGGTAAGGTGTCTCAGAATGTCAGACGAAGTTTTTTGATATCGCTGCTGATTTAAGTGGCAGGAGAGAATGAACGTGGACGTTTGCACCGGTAACGTGCGTGCATGCATGTGGACGGGGAGAATGAATGAGAAAATTCTTATGCCGGTATGGAGGGGCCACGAAAGCATCGCGAAGCGGCGCGATTTCTTCTCTCTCGCTCTCTGCCTCTCTCCTCTCTTTCTATTTCCTTTCTCTTGCTCTCTCTCTCTCTCTCTCGCCGTGTCTCTCCCTCTCACTTTCTCCCAGTCATGGCGTGTCCCATGGTGTCTGTTTGTCATCTCTCACGCCAGCCCTCTGTGGCACGGCGGTCCCCGACTCCCGCGTTTTTTCTCATGTCGTCTCTTCCATCTCTTCCTCGTTTCCCTTACATCCTTTCCGTATCGGGATTGTCTACATGCCTCTCCCTCCCTCTCTCGTCTTTTCTCTCTCCCTCATCTTTTGTCCTCCTTCACAGGCTTTGTTCTCGCGATCCTGGGAACGGAGGGCTTTGCCTAGCGAGAGACTGTTTTTTTCACCTCGAGAGGAGTTTCCTTTCGCTTGTCCTGCACCCTTTTGTCATTTTTCGTCCAGGTTCTTTATCCCCTTTTCCGTGTGAGTCCCTCTCGTCCTTCGTCTCTTTTCTCTTATGTTCGTTAGTACTGTCATTATGTTTTTCCTCTGGAACGTCTCTGACCTGCGGTCCCTCTTCTTGTGTTGGAATCGTGTCGCTAAGGCTCTCTTTTTTGGAACCCCCTTCTTGTGTTGGAATCGTGGAGATAAGGCTCTTTTCGGGAACCCTCTTTCTGCTCACCAGGACTTCTCTATGTGCTTGCTGTTCGCGAAGCTACCTTCTTTTGACTCTCGATCTGTCTTTTCTCTAGGTCGTCTCTTGTGTTGACTGTCCCCCGCCAAGATGGATATTGCATCACGTGTGTTGACTATCTCCAGGCGTGTTTGACTTTCTGTAGCACGGGTGGGGCACGGTTGGTTGGGTGTCAGAGCATCATTTGGGTCGCTGATCAAATCATCATTATTTGGCAGTTATCTCATCGTAGGAGTGGAGTGGCAGAGGGTCCTCCTATGAGAAAATCAAGAGGAATCATTTGGGTCTCTGTTCTCTTCGTCAAGCCTAGGAGAAAATCAAGGGATGCCCCGACTACTGCTTGAGCTGGATTGTCTTCTGCACTCGAAGAGGAATAGAGTGCCAGAGGGTCCTCCTATGTCTGGTGCTGTGTTTGCCACGTGGCAGTATGTGGGTGATCCGAATCGAGGTTGCTATCGGGGAAACTTTTTCCCGCTCTTCCTGCCCTTTTAATTCCTCCTCTCTCCTCTTGCTTCCCCTCCTTAGTCCCCCCATCCTCCGTAGCCCACCCCTCCTGGAACGGAAGAGGAAGCTGCCTCCTATCTTCAGAAAGAAAGAGTAGCGCGCCGTGTTCTCGTCTTATATGGAGCTTAAGGGTTGTCGTCACCATAGTGAACTCGTTGCCGGCTTGCGAAGGCAGCGCATGAATCTGGCTGTATACCCGATTAGTTACGTTGAGCAGTACGTTGGCGGTGGAGATGGAGTGTGTACTCACCACCCTGGAACTTTTTGTCTTGAACCTGGCCTGCTCTGGGATAAGATAACATTGAGCAAAGTTTTTGTGTGAGCGAGCTTCGCATCACAGGTGAAGTAACTTTGTGACTCGCGTTTCGCCTTTGGGGCGTCACTGGCGACCGGGAAGTTCGTCCGGAACGATCAGAAGGGGGGAGAGGTAAGGGGAGGGAGAAAGTGGGGGGGGAGGGGAGAAGGAAGGAATTAAGATCACGAGAGTTCGTTTGTCATCCCATGGGACGGTGTTAAGGCAATCATGGTTTAACGAATGGGACACGTTTGTGCTGATGAGTGAGGGCAATTACAAGGTTGACGTTCGCAGGGGGGCTTGGCTGTGAAGCCGCTGCTAAGGCGAGAGTTGGTTGAAGTAGGTTTTGATTCATTGATGAATTGCCCCAGGGATTTTGATTCTGCTCACTTCTTCGACGACAGTCTTTCCGTTCTCACACTGAACACGAAATAGGGCGGTCCCGAAGATCGTGGGCGCCAGAAAGCTTAAGATACCCTGGCGGGGAACACGGCGGGAAGGGCGTGTTCTCGAGGGTGGAGAGAGAGAGAGAGCATGGTGTGCGTGTGTCGACAGGTGGTGTGTGTGGTCTAGAGAGAGAGAGAGAGAGAGAGAGACGATACGCAAGTGATGTCTGTTGGGGCGATTAGGACAGTGTTCTTGGATGTTGAGCACTGGAATTTAATTTCGCCGCGTCCAAGTATGTCACATTCCCTTTAATTGGAGTTGGCGCGAGTTGTGGTTTGCCCTCGTACTGGAGTCAGCTGGCAAGGTCGAGGAGGGCAGATGAGATGGCGGTGTGGGGAAAGGTGCTGGTAAGCCTACGGTTCCTGCATGGAGTACGGGTGGGCATTGTTGTGTGCAATGAGTGGCAAGGCGGTACGCACACACTCTCACCCTCAGGAATGGACGGTTTGCCTTATGTATTGAAGCGGAAAGCTGGCTTGTATTCATTGATAAACGAGGAAGAACAGAACACCTATCGTCTTCCATCTCACACGAGGAAGAGCAGAAGGCCTACCCGTTGTCGCCGAACACCCGTATCGGACCGGAAAGCTGGCTTGTATTCATTCGTAAGGACGGTGCGTTGTGTTCGCGGGAAGAAAGTAGGCCTTGTGTTCGTCCTCATGTATAGTGTCCTGCCTTTCTGAACTTCCCTCGTCTCCTCCTTCACTTGTTTTATCCCCCCCCCCCCCCCCCCGCCCCCTCCTTTTTGTCCCCCTTTACCCCCTTGTCCCTTCACCCCGTCCTCTTCACTCTTCCTTTCTCATGTGATAGTGCGCTGCCTTTCTGAACTTCCTTGCGCCCTCCTTCACTTGTCTCACCTCTCCCACCCCTCCCTTCTGTCCCCCTTTCCCGCCTTGTCCCTTCTCCCCCTTCCTCTTTACTTTTTCCCCCTTGTCCCCTCCTCCCCCTCCTCCCTTTCTCCGTTTCGTTCCTTCACTTTCTCTGTCGTTGCCTCCTGTCTCTCTCGGTCCTCCCCTCCTCCCCTCACCCCCGCCCATCTCTATTCCGTCGGTCGCTTTAAAATTTCTCCAAGTATCATCAGCCCATCTTCCTTGTATTATTTTTTGTCCTTTCTGACCTCGCTCCCCGCTCCTTTTCTCCCTGTGGCTGATTGCGCTATATCCGCTCCTTCCCTTATTTCCGGTCTATCATCATTCTTGTTCTAGTCCTTCCCCTCCCTTGTCTGGCAGTCTCTCCCCCTTTCTTCGACTTACAATGCCCTTCATCCTTTTTTCTTTTCGTCGCTTGTCTTCCTACGGTCTTCGCTCGTGGTAGGTAAGAAGACAGGGGACGAAGAAAGGAAGAGGGGCTCTGTCAGAGAGCACGTCTGGAGCCGGAGAGAATGAGAGGATTGAAGAGAGAGTGGGGCTCTCTGCTGTCCTTCCTTTCTCTCTCTTCACTCCTCTTATTCTTCAATCAGCCACTATTCCCGCACTTCCTTTTCCCCCCCACTGCAGTGTTCGCCGTTTCGTCTTCCTTGTGGTCTCTCTCTCTCTCTCTCCCCTATGTCTTTCAG